ACAATAGAAAAATACCCACCCTAAATTTATGTCGATCATTTCCTGATTGTAAACTTTTGTCCACCGAGTGTACGTATCAAGACTTTCGCTTTACTATATAATAAACCTGTTATATCTGGTAGAGTTTTATATAGATTATTCCGCCCAATTATATCGCTGTGTATATAGTACAGCATTTTGTTTATTCGTAAAATTTAAAAAGAGCTTGAACAATAACAATATAGTGCGGGTCATTTAGTTACATCAATTACATCAAATATTCAATAAATCTATTAGTACTAAATTTACAATCTAATAGAGATTTATTCAAACCAAGTCTTTATTAATTAGTACATTCTTTAAAAATTAAGAGAATAATAATTATTTCATTATTCTATAACACGTTATAATTCATTTGCTTCATTTATCATTGAAACATATAAATAGAGTTTATTTAGCTTCGCTAGATTTGTGTATTGAAGTAATATCGGTGATAGTCAAAAGTAGGCTTACAAATTACGGCGTTTAAAATTAAAACATATCGGTGATACATTTGGACTCTCATACGTAGTTTTCAGAACTTCCCGAAATCCAATAAAGAAAAAAGCTTATTCAGTGAATAAGTATGAATGGCGTCAGAAAAGACGGCCAATACAGCTTTGGGATCTTTCTGCTTCCTATTGTTATTTGACAATCGAAGTTGTGGATCTTCGGCCAATGCCGCCGTGACACTGCCGAAATTAATTAAAAATCATAATTGAGATAAAAAAAACATTAGATTCTACGATACATATTCACAGTTACAAAAATAAAGATTGACTATTTTTACTCGTAAGAGAAGAGTTTTCATTAGTGAACAGGTTTAACTTGGGAATATAAATGTAGGTATTACATTACTGACCGAATTTTAATCATTTTTGGCATTTATCGTTATGTAATAACGATAATCGTTATTAAACAAGTTGATATTCAAAAATATAAAGTGTATTGTATTATAATATACATGTATCTTGTGAAGAGTTCTCTTCACGTTTCTAATGAATACTTAAAAAGCAAGTAACCAAAGACATTTAGCTGTTGGAACAAACACGACCTCAATTATAAAGATGCGACCATTTCGGAGGATTGTGTCGTTCTTGGTTGAACTGACTGGTCAACGTGTCGAACTCTCCATTTACCAGAACTACCAAAGAACTTCAGTGTTTATTGTGGATCGTCTTCAAAGAAATGGGCCAGTTAAATGTTGGAGTGGCGAATGATGGGAATACGTAGCAATTGTCAGACTATAAACTGTATTGTGTCGCGTTGATCAAGATGTCGAAAAGAGCACAAATCAATGCAATGTTTAACGTTAATTAACGTTAAGGTAACAATTGAATTCGGCTACTTTATTTGTCATTGTTTTATGAACTGCATATTTTTCCATTAGACAAACAAATGAAACGCCAAGAATTCATGTTTTGAGCTTTCAGAATCACAACATATATTGTTGTTTTGATTCGACTGTTCGATTTCTATTTATAAAATTTTAAGCTTTTATACATAATTTTTTCCGTGTCTGATGTGTGTATCGAGGAAAAAGATCACAATAAGATGGCTCGATTAACTAGACATCAAATATGTATGTGCTCGTGCTGGAATTAATCACGTTTTAATATTAACGTTAACGTTAAGGTTATTTATGCCATAATATCGGCAAGATGTGTAATTATTATTTCCGTTTTGTTATGACGTTCTACAATCGCGCGCGAGGTTTTTAAAGGGGAAATTGTAACGAATTCCGATACATTCTTTTCTCTATAATCACATGCAAAGCGATATTTCCTCTAGAATATAATTGGTTTCTTTCAATATTTAATTCTAGTAGTACAATCTGCATACATATAATTAACAATAATAATACACTACATCCCTATATATATATCAAGATGCAACAGGTATCATCAACACATATCAGAGAACGAATATAGAAACAAAACGCAGCCTATAGATTCCTAATTCTCTTCATTCTACGTACGTACATATTCTGGCTCAGCTTAGCAATGATTTTAACCTCATCCGTACATATCGAGATATAATATATTTTAAATCTGTTATTCAAGGAATGTTTGGAAACTGTTCTATTGTCTCTCATTTTGACGATACCGATACAGAATTGTTAGTCTTTTTTGAACATCAACATTACCTTTTATAAAATTTACCTTTTATGAAATTAATGTAGATATATCCTTGGCTATATACGAACGTAGTTGGCTTTATTTTTCATTTACGACCAAATTTGAGACCTGAATCTAGAAACAGTAAAGGAAGAGAAGAAAAGGAACACCCAAGATAATCACCACATCCAAAAATAACAACAATTATGTCGTCAATTTTAGCGCCGCCGTCAGTAGCAGCAACAATTTCGGATAATAATAGTATCAATGATGAAGGTTTTGAAAGTACTGAAGAACAACATGTGGAAAACAATCTTTCGACGTCAAAGAAGAATGATGACGCTGAGACGAATAATAATCAGACTCAATCGTCTAAAAGTTATCCTTTAACTTCGACTACTAATCATACGATTATTGAAGTTGTGAGCAACAACAACAATCCTAATAGCAACAACGATACCAAGAATAATGAATTAATTAACAACAACAAAAATAACAACACTCCGCAAATTCCGTATTCACAGCATCCTAATTCTCGTCCACAACTACCTAACATAATTACAAATAGCAATCAATTTTATCAAAATGATCTGTCACTTGCGGGACACACCGCTCAACCAATTCTACATAGACATTTGTCTGATTCAGGGGCACGTCAACAACTACCACCATTACCTATGACATCCCTACAAAGACCGACTTCAGTCCCAACAATTGCACCGCATATGGCACCGTATTCACATCCAGTAAATATGATGCCAACAACAGCAATTCCATTTCAACCGAATCATCCACATCAATTTCAACATCCGGCTCCTCAGCAATTCTATATTCCAGTACAGATAGTGCAGCAGATGTCAAATCCATCGTATTCTCCTACGTCTCCAATGCCAAAGATCGAGCGAATAAAGGATGCAAATGGGAAACTGATTTCTTCCGACAAAAATACGCAAAAAATTACCTCACAAGTTCTAAAAAATCCACTACCTCAACCTAGACCATCATTAGTACCAACGCCTCCTATATCTCCAATATCCCCACAATTCCGATCACACCCTTTATCCGGTTATTTCGTTGTTGATAATAATAGTATTCATAATCCACAAAACATTCATCCTCATTCAACAATTTCAGGACCTGGTATTATGTCACCTATACCTATGTCACCTACATATATATCACCTACACTTATATCACCACCACCAGTAGCCACTGTCAGCAAAGGAAGACTAGCTTCTACATCGGCATCACCATCACAAAACGTAGAAGAGAAAGAAGACGAACCTAAGCAAGAATCTGAACAAGAATCTGGACCATCACCTATGGAAAATCCGGCATGGTATCGAAGACTATATTGGATTATAACTTGTTTTCTGAATCTGCTACTTTTTGCTGCGTCAATTGCTTTACTCTATATTTATTTTACAAATGTAAGTGTTATTTATTTTTTTACGCGTTTATTATATTTTAATACATGGATGTATGCTAATCATTAATTCTGCAATTTGATGAAAAGCCATATTTAAAAACGCAAAATTCTCGTTATGCATTTATATGCCTATTTGTGCTTGAGTTTATAACACGAGCAACAATCACCTATCGGATCTACAATGTATTTACCAAAGCTGAATTAACTTTTACAGAAATCATTTGCTGTGTATTATGCAAGTATCCTCGTCAATCTGTTTATTTACAAAAACCAATATATACAATTCAACTAATTTTTATTTAAAAAAACAGTCAAAAAAGAATTCTATTTGTTAGTAGGCAACAAAAGCTTGAAGAACTCGGAAATACGTAATCTAAACAACATTAGCGACTACACATGTTTCCTTTACATTTTATTTTTTGTGTATGTGCTCGCGACAAATTACGGACATAAAGATGACGAAGTAACCGAACAAGTTCCGTTTATGGTTAACGATGCAATCGCTATTTTGACCTTTGTCTTGTTTGGTATTGCATGCTTGTTGATGGTGCGATTGTTCCTTCATTGTTTCATTGCGAACGCTAATGATAACGCTAATGTTAACGCTGATGCTAATGCTGATGCTAATGTTGATGCTAATGCTAATGCTAATGCTAATAGTAATAATAATAATAATAATAATAATAATAATGCGGGTGTTTGAGGTATTTTTTACCGAACTATGTGTATTAAAATTTTTGTATTATATTTTATTTATTTATTATCATGTATATACATGTATTTCTTGGTGTAATATTCTTACTTTCAAAAATCTGTTGTTTGTATTTCTCATTATATATATGTTCTCGAAATTATTATAACGATAATAAAGAACAGGAGTATTGGATTTTTTATGGTAAATTTTTCAAATGACATATGGTCATATGACCTCAATTTTGAGGCCATTTCAAGGTCATCGGCCAAACGTGAATTGATAACAAAAATGAATACTGTGTTTTACTATACAAGATATACGTCATACTATCCCCCCAAATGTATCAACGAAGAGTTGTATCGGCGGGTATTTGGTGTTGAGCAGAATTATGGAGTTATGGCAGAATTATTGGATTTATAGATGTTTCACGACCGTCAGATTACATGTATTTTATTGTATGAAAGGATTGGGATTGTTAAGAGTGTATTATTGTTATATTTTAGTGTTTTGTGAGAATAATGAGCGAAGTGTATTTATTATAATGCTTTTTTATGCTTTTTTATATTTTTATTTATTCCAATCAAATCTCTTACTCTACACACTCTTCTACAAATTCTTTTATACAAAATTCCCTTATAAGTTTTGGAGTGGTCATGTTATCACGAGGAGATCCCACCTTATGCGTACTGTGGTTCTATAAACATTGAGAATTTTAATATTTTGAATTTGGTACACTATTTTATAAAGACAAATCAATCATTTCACCATGTTGGCTTTCACTTAATTCTGACCTTTTAATGTTTAAAATTTTTCAAGGGTTTATTAAAAATGATGTTTGTTTACAAAAACTTCAAAATGTTTATTCAAGACGTGTATTTTCACATGTCAAAATCTTAGGCATAGTTATGAAGTTTTTGTTCAGTTAATTTCTAGACATCATAGAAGAGTACAGTGTGGGTCACTTAGTCACCATACAAAAAAATTAACATCAAATCATATCAGAGCCCTCAAAATAATTCAGAAAATTAGAAAATACGTAAATTAATAGTTTATTGGCTACTCTATAAAACATTACGTATTTTTTTGACCGGAAAAGTTCAGATTGTTGAGTTAATAGGTCTTAAAGATTGGCAACCTAAGTGACCTGCACTGTAGAACCTTGCATGTATACTCACAAAAACCTAAGCTACAAATGATAAAATCTTTTTTGTTTTTATTATATTGCATTAGTATGCAATACTTTTGACCATGTATGTATATGAGTGGGAAATATGTTGTTTAATCTTCAATAGCTCCAAAAATTGTCAATTTTTTTGACCACTTTTCTTCAATATCAGAGACAGCCGTAACGGTAAATAGTATTTTTTTTCTAGTTTAGAATCTGCTCATTAAAATCTACTCCATGAGCAAAAATTAATCCTTTCAGTTCCATTTCCAAATTTCAAGATAGTGCTAAAATGTATCGAACGCGTCACTAACTCGCGACTTCATTAAATCGCATAGTCGTTAAATCAAGATCTGACTGAGTTTTTTTCATTCGCAGTTATTTTTCACATTTTCACATTTTTCCGTAAACTCTGTTAATTTCTTATCTAAAAGTTTTTCTTCTCAACAATCTTCTTTAGTTTGTGAGAAAACCAAATTAGGGTGATATCTCGGCGGATAACGATAACGTTACACACTAATTTAAAATATGCTACGATATTCTTTTTGTGTGGTTTTTTTATCTGTGATCTCTAAGAAATGACTTGTTATTGAACGTGCATTATCAGCGAAATTATATATATAGATTTCCTCGCCAGAATGGATTACAGATATAACGATATGGTCAGGATAATCAGTACAAATATCGTTATATCGAGAATTTAAAAATCGGTATACCGAAGGAAACTTTATTTTGGGTTGACGAAGTATCGGTACGTGGATTCGGAATTGGCCTGTGCTGCTGGGAGTAGGGATGTTTTGCGGTTTGAAATGGTTTAAATTATTAATTTTCTTTAACAGTTATTATAATTTTTTAATAAGCAACTTAATTTACAATATTGTAATATATACGTAATTTTAATTAGTAACTTTACAATAATGATCTCAAAAATTAGTAATTTTATTAAAATCCAAACTGTGGTTCAAACCGATGGTTTAAATGAATTACTAATTATTACAAAAATAATTATAGTTTTGCAATAAGTAACTTTCAAATTTTATGCAAATTAATTTTAATTAGAAGTTTAAAGATAAATAATTATATAAATACTTGGTAATTTCAATCAGGTAAATAAACTGATAACATCCTTAACTGGGAGTGTTAGCCGAAGGAACCTAAATCTATATACATGTACCATATACACATACAACATATATCGATCGATACATAAAAAGTCAATATAATTCCAGAATCGATTTCTGTAGATGGGATTTTTTGAAGTTTTCATCTTTAGAGTTTTGTGATAAGGAATATTGAAATACAAGTACCGTATTTTATCGTGCAAAAATACCCCGATGGATATGATGCAAGGAGTATAATAATCTCATACCATTAAAAAGTATCTTGATGGAAAAAATTTACCTCAGAACCGTCTGCATTACAAGAAGGATAGAAGCTGTTATTGAAAATATTGACTTTATTATATATTGATTAAAATTTCAGGTGTGGTTACGTATTATCGTTATGTATCGGTATGTTTTATTTTTTGGGTGGTTAGGATGAACTTGGAAAAAAATTTTTGGACGGATTTTTCTAGATACTATAAAAGAGTATGTATAATCGATATAATTTTTTGTGTTTTTATTATGTGGGGTTTTGCGCAATTTATTGTGTTAGAGTGTGCAATACTTTTGACCATGTAGTGTATAAAGAAACTTTGAAGTCACAAAGTCATTAAAGAATCGACACAATCCGCAGCTACGGACAGGGAAACGTGGGTAAAATTGGGTGCTGCAGAGAGACGTTATAAAAGAGCATGCCCCAAAAGGATCCACCACCATCAACTGTTCATTACTTGATGGGTTTTGTAACAAATACAACGCTTGACTGCCCCAAGTCACAAACATTCTTCTCGTCCATCATGCTAATTGGATCAGTGTTGGATTTCGAATAGGACATGCTTTACCAAGGTGAGGGAGAATAGAAGGTACAATGCAGTTGGAATGACTGATAAATATCGATCCTCAAAAACATGCATCTGGTGCTTTCAACAGATTAGGTTCAAATACAATATCGATATAAAACCTCATGCACATGAATTTTGTGCCAAATATCATTATTTCTTTTTACCAATTTATTTCACTTATACCTTGCATATTTGCAGCAATTACCAAGACCTACAAACCATTAATATCACAAAAATCACAATGAGTTTCGCTCGGTCAGATATTATGATTTGTACGATGACATTTATTTCGAGTATTATAATAATTTGCGAATTTTATCAGATTTGATATTTGTTCATGCTTTCATAATAACATTATATGTAAATGAATATAAAGAAAAATTAAAGAATAAAATACATTTTAAAATATCGATTCCTAGCATTAGAGGATTTGCATTTAGTGTGGGTAATTTCGATAAAAGATTAAGAAATAAGTTAAATTAACTCTAATGGGATATTTACAAGATAACTGCGTTAGAAATATTAAGGGAAAATAGTGAAGGCAACCAATAATCTATATAAAATAAAAAGTCCATAAAAAGGTAAATAAATCAATAAGCCTTTCCTTTTCCTTTTCCTTTCACATCAATTCTGTCGTTTAAAGATTCGATTGTTTTTTTAATTTCGTCTTCTTTAGGAAGAACATATGGTTCGACTTCAGTTGGGACATAACATGGTGTAAACGGAATAAGAACTGATCCCCGAGCATGTGGATACACTTTTTTTTTAAACTCGTCGAAAGTCCACACAGGCTGACTCTTTTTTTTGGATTTCGGATCGCTGTGCTTTTGTGTGTCAGGTGATTTCGATAAATTTCCTATTTCACTTGGACTGGAAGGCGACGGCTTGATTCCGATTGTTGGTGGTTGATGAGTACTTGGATGTTGAGCTGTAAGTGGTATAGTTGTCACCCCCCGCCTTTCCGCAGACTTTGCACGAATCTCTAACACAATATCTGAAAGGCCAACTGTTGGAATTGTTGTCAATTCCCTAATTGTACTTTCTTTAGCCTGTGATGCAGTCAACATGGGAAATTTGCATTGCAATTTTTTTCGCGCACGAACTGATTGTTTTTGTGCAAATGAAAGGAAACCAGAGTGCAACTGTTCAATTTCTTCTAATTTCCTCTTTCTGGACATGATCACACCTTGAGTTGGAGGGGAAGAGCTCGCTGTTGATGAAGATGATGAAGTGTTTTCAGTAATTTGAGATGAATGCGGACTAAGTGGCTCATTTGACGATGACGAAGGGCTGCTTCCATTAGATGTTTCTTTAGATGACGGTGTGCTTGACGGCTCGCTTGATGAAGGTGACGGCGAAGAGCTAGATGCTGGTACTTTTTTATTATCGGTATTATCATCCTTGCTTTGTATCGATTTCGAGTCAGATTTCGAGTCAGATTTCTCCGAATCAGATTCCTGACTCTTCGAAGGCAACTCTTCTACAGTAGGAATCTTGCCCGATTCGGTTTTTATCGAATCTGAATCGGATTCCTGACTCTTCGAAGGCAATTCTTCTACAGTAGAAACCTGGTGCGATTTGGTTTTCCTCGAATCTGAATCGGATTCCTGACTATTCGAAGGCGATTCTTTTACGGTAGGAAGTCTGCTTTCCTGCGAAACAGTTGATTTGTCATAATCTCTTTCCAGTACGATTCCGCTATCATCTTCTATCGTCACAAACGATCCCGAAGAACGACTTTCTATCGTTGTGAACGATCCTGAAGAACGACTTTCTATCGTTGTGAACGATCCTGAAGAGCGACTTTCTATAATTGTAGACGATCCCGAAGAACGACGTTCTAATTTAGCAGATTTTTTGAGGGATCGTTGTTGAGCCATTTCTTCTTTAGTCAATAGCTTTACGGGTGCAATTAATGTATTGGGCGGAATCGGCGTCATTCCTTGTAAACTGTCGTCCGATGATGAATCAGAGTTTTTGGGTTCTACGCTAGCCATAATAGTATATTTGATATCCGAGATTTTTCAAAATCTTAGAGTATAAAATGGTTGACGAAAATATAGATTACTAGCTGTGAAGACTTTTTGACTCGCTTTGGTGAATTCGTCGATGAATATGCATTTGAATAAATAACAATAACAACACAGATCAATCAAAAATCCCAGCTCTTAAAACACACGACATTTTTCTATACAAAAGTCATTCAAATCCCGTACTCATACATACGTTTCAACTTTTCTTTGCAAGAACCGCGTGTTTCAAATAATTTTTTGACAAAAATTTTTGGTCTTCGAAATGGTATGAAAAAATGACACGTGAAATGATTTTGGGACACGCATTTCTGGTGTTTGCCAACAAGATCACATGGCACGCTATTTATAGTAATAAGGAGCCGCTCATGTTTTTTGTTTGTTTACTTGTTCCATCATTTGATTTAATAATTCTTTCGAAAATGAGATTTTTTTAGGAGTAAAATTGAAATGCGCGTATCAATATTTGTTATTTTTATTGTAAAAGCAAATGCGAATTTTAATGTTATCTTGAAGTAGTACAGCATAATTCTAATGAGTAGTTTATTTTTATTTATCTAACTGTGTTTAGTTTAGCGAAATGAACATAACAGGTTGTTAGAAAACTTGATTCGATTTCAAGAATCAAAGGTACGAATTGATGTTTTGTTTTTTTTTGGTAATTCCGAATATTCGTAGTTTAGCTCGTAGTTCTAACAATCAAATTTATGTTATTACTAAATATAAGGCTATGGATGAAGCAACTCAACTCCAAAATATCCTCCTCGATCATTGGCGGCATAATCTCCTCGATTTGCATACTTGAGAATAATAAGACAAGACGATCCGATCTACGTGCTTTTTAACTGCCTCTCGGCACAATGGATCGGAACTGCGTCAAAGATAACCGCCGCATGCATGAAACTTAACGTTAATCTCTAGTTTAATTTGCACTAGGCCAAATCCTGTATGTTCATCCTGTTACGTATTCATCGTCTGGTTTGCTTCATATATACATATACATTTTTTCGATTTTAATGACCGCGCGTTTCGTTACAACTATTTTTACAATTTGCTCGATTCTTATCGCTACTCGTATTACTACGGGACTATGTATGTATTTTTTCACAACTACATATCTGACACTCTTGGGTTATTTCTACTAGAGACTGAAACTCCACTATAATATGAGCACAGGTTTGCATTCAATTTCTCATTTTAAAAGCCTCATAAATAATACTACGTGGTTTACAGGATACATATATTAGAATAAATATTTATCATTAACGTTGATTTAACATTTCTTTGTTAAAGAAAATATGCTATCGCTATCTTTTGAACTGCCAAAAATATTATTTTTTATGTTAACAAAATTTAGAATGCGTGGAAATAATCAGGATAAATTTCTATAAAAAAAAAACGACAAAACAAAATTAGAATGGGTATTCGAATATCAAATTAAAAAGTGGGAAACTAAAAAGATACAAACTTTCATGAAGCAGGGAGCTCGATAGTTTCACACCATAAGACGTTGCCAGCATTATGAGCTCCTCATTAATCTTTAATGGATAGACTGTAAGATACTTCAAATGGGCCACTTGTAGAAATTGAGTAAAACTTTCTTCCGTATATGATTCACCTAAACGAAACCCGCGAATCTTGAGAGAATAAAGTGTAGATGGAAGTTTTTCTTTCAATTTGTCGAATACCTCAGACAGCAATTCGGCAAAAATATCCAGATGCACAAGATTCTTGAAGTATTTTAGTAAAGGTATGGATTCTTCTATCTCTAATTCGAAAATACTGATTGATTTGAGATTATACGAGCTCAAAAGAACTTTATCAATTATTTCCCGTTTTTTGTATGAGTCGATTGTAGCAGAAGTTGAATTTTCGAGTCGGAGATATCGGAGACTCTTGCTGCTGGCTTCAATGACCTGCTTTATAAACTCAGACGGAATAGAATCGTAGTATGATGAATCAAAGAAAAAAGCGAAATACTCCAATCTTTTGAAATATTTAGCAATTTCGATACAAGATTTTTGCTCTAATCCCCGGCAACTGTAAAGATCTAGACACTGAAGATTTTCACAAAAAATCAACGAAGTAATTAAACTCTCGTCTTTAAATGCACTAAAATCGATTAAGACGAGTTTGATTGCCCGTATTGATTTCGAAGAGAGAGACTTATTTATCGCTTTGATGGCAGCATGAGATAAATTAATTATTTTAAGCCATTGCAAATCATTTTGCGCCCTAAGAAAACGCTCCAGCCCCTTAGCTGTGTTTGTTGTGTCTACGTTGTTTGTAATGTCAGAAATCCAATCATTTTCGAATGCGATTCCGCGCAAGGAATGACAAATTCCGGCTAACTTTACAAAAAAATCTAATAGATCTTTGTGGCTGTTGATTCCGAATACGTGTAAATCTTTAAGATTCTTAAATGCTGAAGTATTTGGAAATTCGAGGGGATTCGGACACCAAGATTCGATATCCAAATTATGACAAAAAGATCGTATTGACTTTGCCTTATCTAAAAAAAGTTGACATAATGTTCGCGTCAACACCTTACGTTTATTACGTTGTTTTAACGTTGGATACTCTTTTTTTTGTTTAAGCCATGCACCAGCAGCATAGCATATTGGAATTGGATCAAGATGAGTCATAAATAATGGATAGTCAAAAATAGGCATTCGAGTAGTTCGTGGACGGCTGATTCCATTTGCACGAAGATAACTCCATGTTTCGCTCGTGAAACACCCTAAATACACGCTTATGATTTTTTGTGATTGCTCGTAATTAACTGTTGATTTAAAATGTATGCCGGGTGTTACTCGGAATGGTTTCGCCCAAAGAATTGGTACTATTTCGCGACATAATTGTCGATTAACCCGTAAGAAATTGTAGAGGGATCCATGATTGAGGTTTTTAAATATTTCTTGGTGGATTTCAAGTGGTAATAATATAAAATTTTCCATTTTCCTATTTCGGGAATAATATTTATTTTAATTTTTCGGATTTGGTAATGAGTTAATATTTTTTTAAAGATTTTTTAATATTTAGTACGTATTAGCAAGTACGTAAAAAAAAAGCAGAGCACACTAACGCTAATACATGTACATGTACATTGTGTTCGCATGCAAGTACATGTACATGTATGCAAAGTAGCGGTAGCACCTATCACATGTTATGTCATGGGATTCAACATAATCAGGTTGTATACAAGATGCTGTCTCCAATGGATTTATTACTTTGGTTCTGTAAAACTAGCATGTACGTATCTCTCTTTTATTAATTGTTCCGTGTTAAAATATCTAACTACATGTATTTATCATTGTAATGATATTGGTGATATTAGTCGTGGACGTCCTGCTTTCCGCTAATGCAAATCTATTCTTGCACATGCAAGATCCAACGATTAATTAAAACCTCGATATAACGATAACGATAATGATGACAAACCAAAACATTTCTAATAAAATTGTCTTTGATATACGTAACGATTTTTATAATAAATTCTCGATTTAACGATATTTGCAAGGTTTTTGCTACGTAATTGTCCCGACCATATCAAGGTTTGCTCGATGCTTTGGTATCACAATGAACTAGTAATACCAAGTTCGTGATACTGTATTGAATGAAAACTTTTTTCCGTTTCATGTACGTAGTCATACTTAAATGGTAAGCAAGACATATATGTATGCACTAATAATTTCAAAAAATGAACTTTAATAAATGCATAGCCAATGCGCGAGAATTTGATATACATAAACTTTAATCCGTCGAACTTACGATTCTCGGGCGGCTAGTTTTTTTTGCGTGCAAGTGCAAGAGTCTAAAGCTCGTTAATCCCATCTAAATGCAGGAGATATAAACGTCCATTATAAAGAACGTTTTGTGAAATTGCTTATTCACTCTATATTTTGTTTTGTACACATTTAGGGCGATTATAAAAAATACAAAAACCAAGAGCATGATCGAAACGAATAAAACGGAAATCTGCTTCGTTTTTCGTATTGCTCTAATGACACTACTACGCATTGTTTAATACGAACAGCACCGATAATAATAGTGCTAACCAAAACCATCTTAATCTTCACCAAAGGACCAAAAATCTTCTGGTGAACAAGGAAAAAACTTTTAATGATACTTGATGATGACGAAACCTTTCGTCACGACCATTTGAAAATATTTAAACAATACATGTATTGATTTTCACGAAACCTTTCGCCATGGCCATTTTGGAAATCCAAGTGGCGAATGACGATTTTAGCAAACTAACCATAAAAACAATAGGTCAAGTCAATTTATCAGTTTATTTTTTTTGCATAATTTTTACCAGAGGTACGATCGTCCATGGCCTTCAGCCAATCAAACACATGTACTAAATCTCTAATGACGTAACATTCTTTTAAAATTCGGAAGTGATAGGATTTATACATGTGATTTAAGCTATTATTTTGATAGTTTCATCACTCATTTGTCGCATTTATTTATTGTTTACCTGTCTTTTTTTAAAAAAATTTTCATCTATCATATTATTTTAAGCATAATACATGTAATTAAAAACTCCCGAAATCGACGCATATAATACGTATTGGTAAAATCATCTCGATTCGGACTTTATCATTATCGAACTGTTCGTATACGTATAAATAGAATTTTGTGCTACGTATTTTGTTTAATGTCAATGCCAATAACGATAAAAGTTTCTTAATTCGGAAAATTTCTAATTCGTCACACATAGCATTGAGACAAATAGTTTTTCCATAAATAAAGTTCTGATATGCCTTGCACACACACACATACATGTAACTAATACGTACATGTAATCTTCTAGTAGACGTGAAGGGAAAACCCTACGAAACATAATTAACGATATACACCAATTCCAAACCAGATGACGTATTGCAGTAAATAAACAATACCTAGTTGGGATTCAAAAGAATAAATTCATTTTCTAGAAAGATACTTTATTCCGATTAACATGTTTCTCGGGTGAATTTTTACGAAAACTTGAGCACATAATCATTTATTATAGGTTCTCTCGTTGATTATATAATGATCGTTAAAGGAAATATTGTCTTCGTCTCATTCTAAATATTCATTTTACTTGCATTAATTAAATTTTAGTTATTCCGATTATAATCTTGGCATTATTTCTTAAATAACTTTTGACTTACATGGTTCGAAAACAGGAGCACATAGAATTCTTCAAAAGATGAAAGTTATTATTGGTACATACTCCATATAAAGTAGGTAGTACTTCGTGTATTAGGTTTTCTTGTTTATTATGTAATATTGTCAAAGAAATATTTTTTCATATCATTGCATAACTCGGATTTGTAGTTATTCTATAAACATTAGTTCTCGGCTGAGTTTTTGTTTGAAAATTAGAATACTCTCAAAGATTGATTGGTTTAGTAGAAAGTATCGGTCGAAAAAGGACAAGTAAATAATACTTATGTATTATAGGTTCCTTTGTTGATTATATAATATTCGTTGAAGAAATATTTTCTTCGCCCCCATTCTAAGTACTTTGAGCTTTCGCAAATGGGAATCGTTCATTTTACTTGCATTAGTTATTCTATACTTTATTCCGGTTAGCATCTTGGCATTATTCGTTACTTACATGGTTCGAAAACTCGAGCATATAGAAACAAATGATTGATTATTGGTTCATGCTCCATAAGAACAAAATATAATAGAAAAATGCTATAAAAGGCAAAGGCTTACCGACCAAAAGTATAAAAAAGTAATTGTATTTTTTTTTTACTTGATCCTCTAATAAGTGACTTTTTGACATTGCAAAGTCATCCTCTTGATTACGACAATATCGATATGAATAACAACGGTCAAAATCGTGAGCAAGATCGACATGATCAAAATATGAATTTACTCCGTTTCTCGTATTCTACAAGTGATACATCTACACATCTAAATCAACTATTCAACAACAATAATCAACAAGAACCAAATATGCATCAACAAAATATTTTTTCAAGTTTTACTGAAGGACAAAAGAATCTTTTAGTGAACAAGAATAAAGGCTTTTATGGTTTGGACGACTCTTTTGTCGCTGAAATTCCCATAGTTGAGGCCTAACTTGTAATGTTTCATCCTTCAGCGATATAAAAAGTCGGGAAATTAACAGTGAATTTTTGTCCGTTATAAATTAATATTTTTACGTACCTCTTTTACGATATGTGAAAATGATTTTTTTAGTTTTACTATTACTATATATATTTCGGTGTGAAATAATAAGTATATTTTCTATTCGGTATATTATATCCTGCCTGTGTTCAAATGTTTGTCTGTTCTGTATTTAATTCCATTCGATTTTTTCGTTTATTCATTTCTTTATCTTAAAATAAATTACATATCTTTCTCGTTTTATTTGTATAATAAGGTATTTCAAATATTCAATAAAAATATTATTCGGGTAATAATCTTTGCTAATCTCTAAAATCGTGACTATATTTCAAATTCTATATTGCGGTTATATGTATATACGTAACTAAGTTACTAATTACGTACACCACATTAATTTTAATAAATTTTACTTATTTGGAAATTTGGACAACAGTGCACGTATTGACGTTAACAATTTTGATGAAATACATGTACATGTAATAAGAAGTAACTAGGTAAAACATATTTTTTGCATACATGATATTCTCTATAATAGTCACGCCCATTTATATAAACAAATATTGTTTATAGTTACTTGAATACAGTTAATAGCTTAAATGGCGACTATAGAGATATAAACATAAATAGGTGTGAATATCACATTCGTTCTATGTACGTATGTTGCATAACATCTAAATTCATCAAACATTTGTATTTTATAAAATGGATAAACTTCTTTATAAAGAAGTAAATACAAAATTTAATCTGTGAATATGATAGAATATGCCCTTTCTGAGCATATTCACGGATTAAATTTTGTATTTACTTCTTTGTAAAAAAGTTTATAAAATACAAATGTTTGATGACTTTAGATGTTATGCACCATATTGTATTGAATATTTTAAATATCTTCGATTTTTTATACAAGTTTTTATTTTTTTTCTTCAAAAAATTTTCTCAATATATTAGGGCAGTGACATATTAGATAATATTCTAGGGGATGGGGATAGGCTGGAATATAGTTGAGCATTTTGATTGATTATACGTAATCTCTTATCTGGGAATGGAAAATGAACACCTCTATCAAAGTAATAATACCAGCACCCTTTTACTTCTTTAGAAATATCAATTTTTATTAATAAGAAATTGTAGTTTTAGTTTATCAATATAATTTTGTACAATTTAAAAACTATTATTATTTGTAGCAATTATATTATAATTAGTAAAAATTAAATAACTTAAATAATAATATTTTTATTTATATTTAATTTAAATTTGAATTTAATTTGAATTTAAAAATTTTATAACTAAATTTATTATTTAAAAACT